CCCCAAAACCCCAAAACCCCAAAACCCCAAAACCCCTTTTTAATCTATTTATGTTGAATTTGATATAAATATTAAAAATACAAATGGAGTCATATGTTGCACATTCAAATGAAGCTGTTAATGAACATCACCAGCAAGTTTTGGACAATTTTAGTCCTTGACTGGATCAATATAAGTAAGTAGTGCTCTGATTTTGTCTTTTTGTGGAAAGAAATTTCTGATTACAACAGTCCTCTTAGGTCCTGTTACCCCTATTTTTCGACCAATTTAGAGAGATTTTGGAGTGATTTGATCAAAATCTGATAAGTTTACAGTAGCTGGCCCATTATTTTCTTGAGATAATCTTCTATTTCTGATTCAGAACTGATTCGTAATTTATAGAGTAAAATTCGGACTTGAAGTAAATCAAAGAATGTTCGAAGACCGGGTGCAATGGGATTTACTTTCGGGTGAAGGCCAGAAACTACTAACCTCTTGGGACCCAAAATATCAGGAGCTGAAGGAAATGGTTCTTCAGGATCGTCACCAACCTAGATTAATACCCCAATTCTCGGTGAATAGTAACATAAATTTGCTTACTCAGATGCAAATAAACCTACATTGCTCTTCGAGAAATAAAAATAATATGAGGAAAAATTGAGTTGTTACCAAGCCTTTTGAGGAAGATTTTGACAAAGAGATTTCTCATTCATCATTGCTGTCCAGGGACCAACGATTTTATCTAGTGAATGCAATTTTTTGTAACACAGCCGAAGTTGATGGTTATTTATCACGACCAGCCCACAACCAAGGCGAGAGTTTCAAGAACTGAAGTTTGCTGGAAATCCACTCTAATCTGTTCAGCCTGGTGAAGTTTTTCTGCAAAGTGGATAAAGAAGTACTTGAAGCATGAGCCAATAATTGAGAATCCCAACAACTTCTGTATGAATATACAATCCGAGTACGTAATTTCAATTAATACTTTAGTGGAATGCTTTTGTAGACTTTATCTGGAAGTTTGCATCCAGTCTCCATGACTACGAAATCTGAATGAACCAGATGTTCGAGACCATTGATAATGAAGAAGAGAAAAATTCCAATACTCTTGGAGCCAAGCTTGGAGACTCTCAAGAACCCCCCAAGTTCAGAATTTATAGGATGTTTACCACCATTTGGAATTATGTAGTTTTGGACACTAACTTGGCTTCAAAACTTGAAAATGCAGTCTCTAAGCAGCTCTTGCTTGTTCAAGAGAATATCATAAGCCATCAACTAGATGACGGCCCTCTTGGAGATGTAGAGGACATTAAGATCATCATCAAGAACTTCATGTTATGCGTGCTCGATATCAGTTTGAATGAAAATTCGATTCATTATCTCTTACATAGTCACGTTGTGCTGGACCATACATACGAAATTTTCGAGGATCTCATCCTCAGACAAGCCTGGGTCTTCATCAAATCTATATGCGAGAAGATCTACAACAAGCACAGGATCAGTAGCTTACTAGTAGTCTTGTCATATTACTCAGGGATTCTCAATGAGTTCGGACCAATGAGATTTAGGAGGAAGCTGGAAAGGAAAAAGACAGTTATCGTCTCAAAGTTCCTTCGATACATCATCAAGAACAGACTCAAAGTGTTCAAGAGGTACTGCTTTCAAGAGAAGGAAGGTAAGCGCAAGAAGTTCCTTGGCCTTTTACAAAAATACTATGAGAAATACAACATCAAGATAGAAGATTTCTTTCAGAAGGACTCCATCTTTACAAAATATTGCATGAAAATTTTTGAGAGAAATTGAAACCTGAAATCTAAGGAAACTAAAGACAAGCTGAGAATCTTCTGGAAGTCATTTCTTGACGTCCCAAAGATGCACAAAAGTATTGGCATCTCACAGAGAAAGTCCTCTCTTGAGAGGGAAAGCTCCTTGTATATCACAGTCAACGAGGACGCCTTCAAAATGCTCACTAATATCAAGGCCAGCGATGAGAAATGTGAGGAATTCAATCACAAGAAAGGAATCGAAAGAATTCTGAACAGAGTTTTGAATCGTGAATTTTCTCTGGCAGATCCACTGCAAAGAAAATATCAGTTATTTGTTCAGAAATTCTCCAGTATGGAACAGTTAAAGATGACACAGATTCCTGAAGAAAATGAAGAGGAAAAGAAAAATGATAGCATCAACGAAATTGACCAAAGTTACGATAAACTGGAAGATTTATCCTCCTTGAACGAAAATGACCCAAAAGAAATAGTCAATAAGTCTGCTGATGAGAAATTTGCACCTTATGGTCAAACTCTCAATGATAAGTCTATTGAACTCCCGGAAAGGAGATCATTTTTCCAACTTTTTGTGAATGAATCTACTCTGAAGCCTAAATCAGATGTGAACGATACAAGCTTTGCTGATAGAAAAACGAGGATTACTGGGACTAGCCCCTCTAGTTTTTCTTCTCCCCTGAACACCAGTGACATTAGCAACAATGCCAAGAGCTCAAAGTAAGGATTCTATTCTAAAATTTTAGGATTTTCAGTTCAAACGAGACGAGAAAAGGTAGTATTATAAAGCTTATGAAGAAAGCTAAACCTGCTGGATCTCAATTCTTCAATGAAAAGAGGTTCAGACGGTACACAGAGAGCAAAGATTTTAAGAAGAACCCAGAGCGCTTACAGAGAAACACGGTGTACCTCCCATCTACATCATCTGGGTTTTCACAATTATTCCATGGCCGTAAGCAATAATTCGTGAATTCCCTATGTTTCCCGAATTAATATGGAAATGCTCGTTTTAGGTAATTTAACTAATAATAAATCTTAATCAATTTGGTTTCGAAAGGGAGGGGTTTTGGGGTTTTGGGGTTTTGGGGTTTTGGGG